CAAGTATAGGCGGCTTTATTGAGAACTTGATATCCACATTGTATGAGTTTTATTGTCATATCAATTTTAATAAGGTACAATTTTTAAATTCCCAAACTTTTTCAGCTTATACTGATTATTTACCTACTAATTTTAAAACTAATATAACTAAAATAAATAGCAAAAGGTGGCAGAATCTAAAACATCCTACACAATTTGTCCGAAATAGATCGGTTTTACCACAGCGTCTTAAGAAGTTTTATTTCAAAAAAAGTAAGATAATTGAACTACCCTAATACAAGGTTTGTATTTAATAAAAGTACACCTAAAGTTAAAATATACCATATTTATCCCAAAAAATTACAGAGATGCCGTAATTTATCAAAAACTATTTTTTTGCTATTTTTCTCTTTACCGTTAAGCGGCTTACATGTGCAGTTATGAATTTGACACGGTTGAGTAGGACAGTATGCACGAGTATTTGCCAAGTACAAAGCTTAATTGCAAAAAGTAGCCGCAAAAGTGGAGGAAAAGTCTAAGATTTTTAGTAAAAAATAAAATAAAATAAAATAAAACTGTTAAGTAAAGTAGACATAATGAATGAAGAGCGCATAACCGTTTTGGTTAATTGAAAGCGGCGCTGCAGTGATGCGTAAATGTTGACGCAACACCAGCCAACAAGCAGCAACAATGCATGACCTGCCTCACCTGCGCTGATATGAAAGGTACAACAAAAAACAAGCAGATGAAAACAAATTAATAAAAAAAAAGTGATTGCTTAACATTTAAAAGCTTATCGACCGGAACTCAGACGATTATTTTCGGCCAACAGCAGCAACAGCAACGGAAGCTGCGGCAGATAAGCCCATAAATGGGAAGAGACCAGAAACGGGAATTTTTTTTTTTTGTGCGTGATTGAATTGCAATGGCCGTGACGGTGACAAGTTGCCAACGTGGCGTAACAAGTTCGACGCTAAGGAGCCTTATAATGGCTACGAGGTGTTTAGTTAGTGGTCGACATGGCGCATAAACACCTTTTGCCGTCCATATTTTGTTATGACTTTTACCACGACTGCTTTTTTATTTTAATTTTTTTGCTTTTTTGACTATGGTGTTAAAAAAATCGAAGTTGGGCTTTGGTCGTTAGCAACTTTCTCTGCAAAATGTAGTAACTGTTTTCTATGTACCATATGTATGTGCGTACGAGTAGTTTTTGTTATCGCTGCTAATTACTTTTTGCAAATAGTTTTTATAGCTATTTATAGTGTGCTATAACGGTTTTTATTTGCCTAGTTTCATATTATTGGTAACCACTGTGGTCAATTACACCAAAGACGGTTGGTTTTACAGCCGATGCAGTCTAAACTTACTCTTTGCCTTTTGCTTTGTCAATTTGCTTTTATTGAATTTGAATTGCCGTTTTATCAAAATGACTGGGTACATTACATACGTGTACGTACTAATACGGTATTTATTTATTTTGCTTTGATCTGAGCGTTGTCACTGCTATTATGCGTTTCATATTCATGTTGGTTTGGGTTTTTATATTTTAGAGGTTTTTGTAAGCATATATGGTAGGTCCCAACTGGAAAACAAGTATTTCAAGGAAAATACTTGATATTGAAACTACCGAAGACAAGGTTGTATTTAAGATGCATGTTATAGGTATTACTCTCAACGCATCAGTAAATAGCTAATATCTGTACTTACACAATAGTGGCAAGGAATTTCGAACATAATGGTTAGACTAGGCCTCTCGAAAGTAAATTGCTTTTAACATGTGGAATCGTCAAGTCTCTTACGATAGAGACGGAGAAAAGTTAGTGCACAAGACTTCTTATTGCACCAATTAAGAAACTGAGATTGAGAACGTCTAGTAAAATAATAGATAAATTGAAAATAAGGAAGATATGAACCGACAGGGTACGAAATTTTAGGTTTTGAACCTCAGCAGATTTGGGTTTCAGCACACCCTAATTAGAATGCATTTAATAAATTATTGTATGTGGCTTGTAAGAGTATTTCGAACATCATAAGAGCTAATAAAGTAGACTACGTAGCTAATAAATAATTTTGTAGAACAAAAAATCAGCCTGAGAGAAGAGGCTTCTAACAATATCGAGAATAGATCCTACAAACATTACTGAAACAAAATTAGAACTAAATTAAAAATAAAGAGCAATATTTGCAAAAGAGTGGCACAAATTATCAAGCAGAAAGGTACCACCACAAAAAAACTTGTATTATGCTCCAAAATTAGATGATATTTGACCAGAAATTATATTTTTCATACAATCGAAAAACTGGGGTGCTATTGTTTAGAGAAACATTTGTAAAATATGCAGAAAAAAAGATAATAAAAGTGATCGCATGATTTTTCATCGAGTTAAAACTACAGCCAATTTGAGAAATGTGGTTTCGATAAACACGTGTTTAAAGATAAAGGGATAAAGCTGATTCAACTGAGCGGCAAAATTTTAGAAGATTGTTGCTCAAAAACTATTTAAGATATAATATATATTTGAAATTTTAGTATGTTATTTTGAAAGTTGTAAACTATCGAAATATGAAAAAAATGCAAAAATGTCGTTCCTTTAAGGATTTTCTTATATGATAAACTGAGTGTTTGTGGCTAAAATTTAACACTAACATTACCAATAAACTCGAGTTTGTGGTACAACGTGAACGTACTGTGACACATATTTATTTGCAAGAAACTATTACTGAAGGCTTTAAATTTAAATCTGCATAAATAACATAAGTAATTGAAAACTCTACTTAAACACGTGACAGAAAGATTTGTATTGGGCTTAAGTAATTTTCAATACCGGTTTTCCAGGTGTTATCAATCATATGTAAGTAAAAGGAATTATATTACAAGTTTATAAGCGCATTGCTAAAAAGATAATGAATACTATAAAGCGTAATGTTTAATTTGCAAGCAGATAATTGTTGAGAGTATAAGGAAATAAATACAAAATAATGTATTGAATGTCCATTCAGGTGTTAGTTGTAAACAACTTGGGTATATGTAGTCATCTATCTTACATATTGCATTACGCAGGTGGATTGTTTATAGTCAATATTGATGTTATGTTATTAAGAATTTAAAATGTATAATATATGGTACAATGCATGTTTCATTTTACTAAAGTACGGCAATACGAGTGGAAATATAATTTAAGGTTTATTTTAATTCCACTAATAGGCATCATAAACCGCAAAACAACAGAAGCAAGTAGACATTTTTAGAAATGTGCGAAAACGAATTGACTTCACAGAAGAATACGTTCCATTAGGACACATCAAAAATTTAATAGAAGAGTTCTATACATACATAATATACAGTATACTAATCCAAAAAAGCAAATAGTACTTTATTTGTTAAGAACAGATGTCACAAGAAGTCACTGAGTAAAAAATCTGACAACTCAACTTTCTACAAGTTTTCTTTTTGGGTTTGAAAAAATTCATCCCATGAGTAAATTATAGATTACACTTGATATTCCCTAATAACATATTTCAAGGATATTATTACACTAAATGGCACTTGCCTGATAAGATGGAAGTTTTTCGATAATAAAAAAAATTAAATCTTTCGAATATAATGAAAATTAGTAATATTTTCATATTCGAATAAAATTTTGTCGGTTATTCGCAATTCAGCTAGAAATATATTGCACTTACTATATCAAATGCGAGATTTTTACAGTGTACGACTTTTTAAAATCCTTAAAGCTCAAAATAAAGAAAACGATGCAAAGATATCAAAGGCAGGAAGTCATAATAAAGAAAATATCTAGAGGTCTACTTGAAAATAGTTAAAGTATTACCTTTTTACTTATAAAATATATTTTAATAAATCGTGACCAAAAATTCTAAAAACGAACTATTATTTTGCAAACTGAGTATAGTTAAAATAAAACCAGTACTTTTTCAATAGATGGAGGACTTTAGTAATGTCTATTTCAAATAACGGAGCCACATGTGGACATCCTTGATAGCGAAAACGGTCGTAGTCTAATCGTGGTGAGCCAATGCAAACATTGGCTAAGCCAGGATAGACGATCAGAAAGGTTTTGTTATGTGTTGGATGGTATTGGTAGAAAATCATCTACGAAAAGCTGTTGACCTAATGCTTGATTCGGAACTGAACTGTCAATAATTGGACCTTCCAAAAGAAGCAATCGTTCAGATGCGATCAGTTTTGGCCAATATGAGAAGAACTGTGTTCTATTAGAACAACGCTAGGCCGCACACATGTGTTAAGCCAGAAGCTTCGGGTGCTTAATTGGGAGATTCTTATGCATCCACATTAGAGTCCAAACCTGGCACCGAGTGATTGCTACCTGTTTCTGTCTATGGTTGGAATGATTTTATGGGTAAAAAATTCTCCTCAAAAGAAGCTTGAAATTAACTTCAAAATAGCAAAAATGTATTGAACAAAACGGTGCGTATTTGACATTAATTAGAAAACTTAATGCAAAAATAATGATATTTCTCTCTCTATCTTAATAGACCTTAGTAACATATACAAAATACAATTATTCTTTCACATAATTGAACTCGTTTTAAATATTCCCCTACATGATTCAGATTGTGTATTTAAAAAAATTTATTAATATAGAATAACTGATTTTCCAAAAAATGTAAATATTAAGCAACTGTTAAATATCAATTAAATGTATAATAATGTTAAAAGTTTTCAAATCAATATAATATAAAATATAAATAGCTACACGTTGTGCATTTAGGCGTACATCCTATAGAGTAATAAAAACATAAATATGCCCAGTGAAGATCTTCTCAAACTGAGCAAAATCGTTAAATTAGCATTTTCACAATCGAAAGCGCAGCTCAATGTAAAACCGATTACAATAAATAATGCCTTAATTACCTAAATTGTGCATTAATTTGCCTTGAACGTAACAATCATAAACACGTTGAAATACAATGCTGCGCACAGTAGCAACTGGTTTAACTTCACTTTTCCGACAATTTTACGAGCAAAACGAAATTGAGAGTTTTTCAAGTGAATTGAAAACGAACGAATATTATTTCACATTTGGCAACGTTTCACTTATTGGAAGAAGACAGCTTTGCCACGCAGCAGATAGGGAAAACACATTCGAGAGTAGTCGGTAGCCAATGCGATATAACTGCTGCAGCAACATGTTTGCACAGTGTGATGGGCAACAAATCTTGTCGATTCGCAAAAGACAGTCAAACTGCCAATAAATTGGCGCTTTCGAAATTGAGATGAAAAAGAAGCAATTTTTCGTATATTTTCGCTAAATTTACGAATACGAGCTGACCGTTTGAAGCATTAAAATGTTGCTAAAGCAGCGCTGAAGCTGTATATTGTTGGCGTTTAATAAATTTTCTTGTAATTAGAGCCGAAATAGCCCCTAAGATGTGCAACAACGAACGCTGTGGTCGTTTCAACTGAAATGTGCAACGCTACAAGTCTATAAGGCAGAGGGAAGAGTGGCAGCGAGGAGAAGAAAAAATAAAAACGTAAGCTGTGATTGCATAATTGTCGCGCTTGAATGAGATTGCAGCTGTGTGGCCGCATTGGCATAGTGATAAAGGTGACTTATGTGGGCGTAGCTGCAGCCACCCACCCAATACTAGAAATAGTTAAGGCGCTACTCTATCCTCCACGACGCTCTATCTTTCGTTGATCACATCATAATTCCACGCATGATTTGCCGAAGCCTCTGTAGTGTGTCTCCAGAGCAGAAAGATACATGCCTTCATTACAACACATTTGCTTAAATAATTTCGTCGCAACACAGCCCTCCGGTTGCCGGCTCTCTCATTCAGCTATACAAAGCAGCTGCGCATGCGCATTGCGTGCAACAATGTATACAAACATGAAATAGTATTGAATCAGACATCGAAGTCGCTTATTATTTCATTGAATTATGAAAATTTGCTTATTTCTGCGAAGAGAGGTGGGCGCTGCCGTGTCGCATTCAAATTTGCTGCCACTCCAATTTGCCAGGTAATTTGTGCGAATATGAAAATTTGATGTTTTTCCACAGCCACGACGCTTAATAGCATTAATATTAGTAGTTGTTGTTGTTCGCTCTTTATTATTATTTTTTTAATGCTGTATTTCGTGCATTGGCTGTTCGAGCTCTGTGCCGTGTTAATTTGTCTGAAATATATGTGTATGTGAACATGACATTTGGTGCGCTAGCCGAAAACAAAAACCAAATCACTGTTATTTAACGTCTCAACGTTAACGAAACTGTCTAATAAATTTACATGTTGAGCATTAAATCATTAGCGTGGTCAGCTTGATGGGTGAATGACCGGTTTGAAATATATTTGTGAGATATATTTCTAAATAAAACAGATTACATAATACCATACCATATTCGATAAAATCGATATGATTTGCTAATAGAGGACTCCAAAAGCTTCCTTTAGGTTTTGATTAAGTTAACATATATGATATTATTTTTAAGGTTTTTGAAATTCCACTACAAACCAATTTTTACATTCAGTATAAGATGCTACAAAGACTTCAATAATTATTAAATCTGCTTTAATTTTTAATTTTAAATATTTATTTAATTCTTTAAACGTAAAGTAAAAGAAAAGTTTAGAAAAAGCAACATTAAATAATATTTTCATAGAAAAACCAAACGAAACTCATGCGTCCAGTTTTGCACGCCAACCTTAGTATATCATATTTTGAGATTAGATTTACTGCTATTTTTTGGAGGAAGACGAAATTTAAAATATTATACTAATTAGTGGAGTTCGTACATTGTCAATTTAACGGTGTTATTTTTTTTTATAACAATTGAATTTTGGAAAAATTCTGTTATCGCAAACTAAAAAATTAGGTACATTCTCCATATATCTGGAAGAACTATTGACCCGATTTTTTTTAACATTATTATCCAGAAAAAATTCTCTCTGAATTTCATTTATATATATCGAAGGTTGACTGCTAGTTTCGGTATACAGAGACACTGGGGTCCACATATTTGGTATCTGGGGTCTTGAAGAGTTCTGGTCCAATTTCGACAACTTTTAGTTGTGAGATAGCATATCGTGGAAGGACTATTTTTGCAAAGTTTTCGATAATGTTATTGGATCACTCGTCACTCGATGTACTGTAAAATAAAGGAAATTTTAAATTGCTTTATATGGCACGTAGGCGTGGTAATTTTGCTCATCTACATTAACAACCGCTGTCGCTGTTTCTAGGAACAAAATATCAAATTAACAATTGCATAGAGAGACGGGCGGACAAATAGTCGCCCAGAACTCAACTCGTCTTGTAATCCCGTTCACTTATGTACACATATACAGCTCTATATCTATTTTGATTAGTTTTAGGTGATACAAACAACCGTTAGGTGAAAAAAATTATTATACTCTGTAGCAATATGTTGCGAGACCTTAAGATGTATACTTTTGAAAATACTAATATAGGCAATTGCGCCTAAAAGTACACTAAATAATATTGAAATCATTCCGATAATTGTTTTGAAAAACGTTTTTGCTATAAAATAAATACTTTAAAGTTATTTACTAAGTAGCAATTATTTATTAGAATAGGCTTTTAAAACAATATTAATACCAATTGAAATTAATTATTCTCTTGATATTATACCCAATGGACAATATTTGTATAGAAGCTGTAAGGAAGACATTAAATATATAAGGAAAAGTGATGAAAATGTTTCAGTGTATGCTTCTAAAACAAATACATAGTAAAATATACCCTGATTGGATTGAAGAAGTTTATTAAATCTGAATAAATAAGAACACTTTGACATTCAGATCGTGCATTGTTAGAACCTTCTTTGATATGTTAAGTTAGTTTCAAAAAATGTGTAAATTTCATTGATGATTTCTCAAAGTAGATATATGTAAATATATTGATTGCTTCTAAAAATATACCATAAATTTCGTAATTTATATTTTTTAACTTCTTTAAAATATTTATCATGATAGAACAGTTCAGTTAGTTAAGGTATTCTTTACAAATTAAAAAGACAAGAATGAAATAATAGACTTTTTCGAAGTATTTATAATAATTATGAAATACTGTATACGCCTTACAAAGATTTTATTTTTCAAAATTTGGTGATTTTTTTGCAAAACCAACAGAAAAGAATCACAACGCATGCATCGCAAAAGTATCTAAGGACCGAGCAAATCTTGGAAATATATAAAATAGTACTTTTTCACGATTAATGGCTGTCAATGCTTAATAACTTGATACACAATATTTCAAAAATTTTTCTTATTTCACAAAACCTTAAAAACTCGGCTACGAACACCGTTAGACAAGCAACAAAAAGTGCACATAAACATTTGCGCGCCACAACAGTATCCAATTTCCCAAGTAAATCTAAATTTCGAACGTCAAACCAGAAGTGATTTAGTAGCGGTGAGGGCAGTGAAAACACCTTAAAACAGCAGACTATGAAATTAGCAAATTAAGTTGCCACTCAAGGTGCTAACAGCGGCAGATAATACGAGCGTAAACCATAAAATCCGACACAAAATGCGAGACGCTTTTATCTATGTAGAATCGACCAGCGTAAACTCACATTGTTTGCCGCAATACAAAACCAAAAACAAAACGCAACAACAATAAAAACAGCAAGTTGCTACGCAGCTTTCAAACGCTCAATTTTTCCAGTTGGTGAACGAGTTTCACAAGCGAATTAAAGCGGTTAGACTTTTGTAATTAAAATGTGCGTTTAAGTGCGGTTTATAAGCAAGTTCACTAGCATAATTAGGAGAACAGTTATTAAATGGACTTACCAAAATTACGTCTAGGTAATATTTGTTGAGCAAGAAAATGTCTTTGCGGATTTTCCACGCATTACGAAAGGGCTGTTCGAAGCGATGCAAGAAAGTGGAAGGAAAATAAAGATTGCAAGATAATTCGTTAGAATTTTGTGGTTATTTTGAAGAAATTATAATCTTTACCAATCGAGACGAAAACACAATACGGCACTTAGCACTCAGGACAGGGTACAAAAACAAATTTTATGGAAGATATGATATGCGCTTACAAATGTATATATATATATACATATATATTTAATACTAGGAGAATGCATGAATAAGACGGAAGAGCCGCCAGCAGATGACACGACAAGAAGCGTCTTAGCAGCGTGAATGCAATTCTCCAAGCTCAGCACAGTCATTGCCAAAGACAAGTGATCAACGATAAATAAATATATGTATGAGTGCCACTAGTCCACAGTTGCAGTATTGACTTACAATATTTAAATATGGTATATATGTATGTTGTGTTTGTAGCAAAGTGAAGTCTATGGTCACGTTCTTTGTCAGCCGCTTAAGCGCTTCATGTTGCCGCTAGCAATGTTGAACTTCCACTTGATGCACATACGGAAACCAACAGCCAGACACCAACCAACGTTAACCACCAAGCAACGTTGCCCCACAACAGCAAACACATGGCTCAAAACACAAATACAACCACAACCACAACTAGCAACAAATGGTCAAGTGATGCGCGGCTTGGCGGTGTAACTGTAGTAAATTGTGTTAGAAAACAACTTATTGTTTGTTTGATGTGTTGTTACAGTTGTTGTTGCTGCTGTTGCTAGTGGTATTTGTTGGCTACTGTAGATATTTTTATATTTGACCCCGTTTCCGCGTTCATTTGACACACATTGGCAGCGCTTCTGTTTTAGCTTTTTGCTGTGCACATGATTTGTTGGTTTTTGTTGTTGTTGTAGCCAATATTATTACATACACACATATGTGTATGTTTAACGCCGTTTGCTCACTATATCTCCACCCATTTTTATTAACCATTTTTAGTTCACTGATCACTTTGTCTACTCACTTCTATACTTATTCGTATTTATTTGTTTTTATTTTTACTTTTATATGAGAAATATTGATTGTTGTTGCTAGTGTACGTTGATAGATGTATCACGTTTTTATTAACAGCTCAAAATAGCACATACTTGTATGTACATACATACAGACAAAGGTAAACAAATGTGAAAAATGGTTGGACAAATTACTTATTTATAATCACAAGAATAGTTACGTATGTAAAAGTATATTATATATTCAACATATATGTATATATGTATATATTTAGATATAATTTACACCTACATTATTACTTGAATTTAGAGGAAATTTTATTCTTAGCTTAAATGGAAAGTTCTTTAAGATTTTTCCGAGGATCTAATGGGTTTTAAAAGAAGCTCTTTCATGGCAGACATAACCTCGAAAGATTTATATTGTATCCTTATTACTATAAAAAACATTTACATTTAATTTTTTTTCGCCGGGATTTGATCTAACAACGCCGCAGAGACCTGTCACGCAATCAAGCCACTCGACTATAATGGATCATGTACAATTTCCTAGATAAATGGCTTCAATAATAACCTCGCGTTTTAACGAACTCCGTTAAATTATACCAAATCCTTTAGCCTTTACAGAATTATAAAAAAAGCCCTGCTCTTTCACTAAAAAAGTATTTTGTAAAGTTCATATATACCTATGTCCGAAAATCTCATTACCTCTAAATAATCCCGGCAAGATTTTCTTATTTCAACTATCAAACATCGCTAGCATAGTTTTATCCCGAAAACTGATATTTGAGAGAGCGTATAATATTCTAAGAAGCAAGACTGGGTGGAAATAAGACCAACCGTATATATGCCTAAAGCAACTTAAACGAGATCAACTTGAAAAGAAATGCTCTTGGAAAAGAGCAGTTGTGCTGAAGAGGTGAGATATATTTATGCTGGCCGCTTACCCCTTATCTTTGTGACTTTTTACTTAAAGTCACTTTGAGAATATAACTACTGTTAAGGCTAGACTTCACAAAGAACAATAATACGTCAAAAAGTATATTACAATATAACCCACTTGTAATGGGCAAATTTCGACGCGATCCATGTCGATGCCAATCAGGGATACTTCTTCCAGTAATTGAAAGTTTGATATTGCTCTATCAATCAGTCAAAAGTTATCATTATTCGACACTCCATTTACTTGAGAATCCTATTCATAACCCCTAATTAATAGCTTCAATCAGACCCCACTTCATAACAGCATCATTCTAGAGGGAGGACATGGCAGAGAGAGAGATAAGTAAAAGTCTTGGTTGTGCCAAGCTAAACTGTTACTGGGAAGGTAATAAAAGTCGAACAAAAATAGATATTCGCAGACAAAAATTCTAGCTGCTTGAGTTAATATCAATTTTTTACTGTAGACTTAAGTTCTATTCTAAGTTGCTACAAAGGTTTGAAATACATTTTTAACGAAAATACGATTACATGCGGGAAGTAACGAAAATCAGAGCATAAAACAAGCATGCATTAGAAACTATTAAAACTATATCGATTGTGAATTTATCGATCATTGTACAGTTTATCGGTCAATATCGATATACAGTACAATCGATTATCGCCACACTTAATTAAAATGTATTAAATTTAGGTAACACAATACTGTATTCGGGTTTTTGGTTTTGTATAAAGAAATTAATAAATTCTTTCAACAATCACATGTCAAAATATAAAAAAAAGAACAAGAAAACATAATAGCACACAACTCAAACCTATAAAACCTTCTCTAGAATTATTACTTCAACTGGCATTGTTTGCCGCTATTGCAAAAGTATCACAATTCACTGTGTGGCACACATATTGACAATGGATCAAAGGGGAAAGTAGCGCGCGCACTTGGGAAATTGTATGCCTTGTATATACATTTGTATATATGTATGAATGTATAGCATGGCTTAATATTTTATGAAGCGCAAAGTGGAGTAAGTTGTGATATAGTTGACAACTCTTGTTGCTGTTGTTTATTTTACGGTCTTGTGGAACACGTAGCGTCAAACCAGAAATGTCAACCCACTAAGCCAAAATGCTACATAATAAGCAAAAATATACTTATGAGTATATAGCAACCAGCTGCACAAGCGCCACCTTAGTGAGCTGTAGCTAATTTATTGAGCAACGAAGCGGACCCTCGAACGCTCGAAATGTATATCAAATTACTAAATACTACGAGTAGCTTGACAAATGATATGATATGGTGCAATGCGAAAGAGTAGCGACACCTAAAGACCTACAAAGGCACAAGTAGGCGGTTAAGAGATATACGCAAGCCAGAAATATGTATGTATAAATATGACGCGAAAACAAGCTTCAAAGAAGTGGTGACATCAAGAAATGAGGTAAAGGTGAATATGTTAAAGAGGCGTTATGCGCATTACGAAAGTGACCCAGAAAGGTAATTGATCTATGAGAAAGAAGATATGGTTATGACATCGAAGACGTCAAAAGACGATTTAATTAAAATTGTGCTGTTCATCGATTCAAATAGGGTCTGTCATAAATTGCCTGCTTGTCGTCTTAATGTCTTATTCATCAACGACAAGTATTATGGTTGCTTAATCTGAAATATATAATATATTTGTATATGTTAGTCTATTTTCGAGCAAATAGCTATATGTTTTAAGCCATTTCTGAACAATTAATAGATTTTATGAGACCATTTTTTTTTAGAAATTAATTTAAAGAAAATATTTAATTTACTCGAACTTTAAACCAAAGACACATCGGTGGTAGTCATGAACTGGGTTACAACAACCGACTGGGCGAGACACCATGAATCATCACAAACCACGTCCTTGTCTGGAAGAAAATTTCATAATTGGATTTTTTTCTAACAGTCATAATTAATGATTCCTAAGCGATTTCCCTGGTATCTGAATGCTCCTAAAGTAACAGAAATTTTATACAAAACGGGAATTGTCAAGGAAAGGATAGCGTATTTAATAGAAGTTCTGGAACTATTCGTGGAGTTTCTCTTTTTTTTCTAAATTTCGTCTAGGTACTGTAATTTTGTAAAAGGCTAAAAGAATAATGAATAACATTAAAATAAGGTAAAAAGTCAATTTATCGCCAAATCCCTTGAAGACATATTGTCAACAAAAAAGGTTTTACATGGACTTGCTTTTGATCAGTCAGTTTGTATGGCAGATATTTGCTTTAATGGTCTTATATCGATCTCTCAAAAACTGAGGGGCTAGTTTGCGCTACGTTCGTTCGGTGTGTTGCAATCTTCTCACTATACCCTGTTAAGAGTATAAAAAAAAACAATCAACACAAATCGAGACTAAGTTCCGGAAAAAGGAAAACGAGATTAAAGGTATGAAACCTTTAAAAGGCTGAACTTATTTTCGAACCGTTCTAGGATTTTCGATGAATTTCATTTACTTTAACAAAAAACAAGAATGATACCCAGTAAAGAGTTTCAAAATCAAACTAATGAAATAAATAATATATTTTCTAATGAAACTAAAAGTTTAGCTCAAGAAATAAAAAAAGATTATTATAAAGTTTGCATAAAAAAATAGGTATTTTAACAAGAATCTGGCAACATCTGCCGCATTTACTTCAGCAAAAATAATTAAAATAAGTCAAATATTTTACACTAACCATTAATTTTTGCAGTAACCAGTGAAAATCGCTGATTTTATTTTAATTTCGACGACACTACTTCGTAAAACAAACACTATGCTGCATGCTTACGAGTGAAAAAAAGTATATTTTTTCAAAGTAACAACAGTAAAAATGATATTGACATATGAACGCGTGCAGCAAAGTAATTAGTCATGGTCGAGCGCATCAAAGGAGTTTTACTTTTATCATATACATATATACATATGTATTGTATGTATATGTCTATACATGCACCTACGTATATTAATTACTTGCAATGTGGCTGCAATTGTTGTTGTTTCGCATAATTTAATCTTTTTTGCGATATTTAGCCGGCAGCCACAGTAGTGCAACAGCAGCAGTGGCAAGCGCTTTACCGCTATGGCAAGCACAGGTGAATTATTATTGTAGCATGAGGCATCATCACAAACAGTGCAATTTCCGCATACAAATGTTCATAAAATACAACGAATTTGCTTGAATGCCTCCATCGTCTGTTCGTCCGTCCGCCAGTCTGTCCATCGGTTGGTATGAATATTCATTTTTCACATAACATAACCCGTTTCATTGCCGTTACTGTCCGATCTGTTGTTATACACACATAGTTGCTGCCACATATCGCATTTAACTTTAATTATTTTGTAATACGAGTACGGATCGGTGTTTCTTAAAGAAAGTAGAAGAGGCAGTAACAAGTAACCAAGCAGTCATGCGTGGCACGAAGCATAAATGCGTGGCAAAATGTATTCAAAACAAACGCAAATACCATATATTGGCATGTGTGTGTATGTGTTGCCAAAAGGCAATATTGCATGTTAGTACGTTGTCATATAACTTTAGTAGTCCAAATAATTGGAGAAAAGTTTTATTAATTATTTAATAGAAGATCAGCCATACAGCCAGCAAAGGTATAAGCGCCAACTTTTTCCCTATATATGTATGTGTAATGTAATAGAGTGATGCTTAAATTAAGGATAAACAAGAAAAACCTTGACTTCATCTACCTTCAAGTCAAATAAAGTGCTTACAAGCATTTAGAAATGTAATATTTTATTCAAACTTTTTATTATTCCAAATATACATATTTTACAAAGATTTTGTGACTTTTTCAAAGGAAAATATTAAAAACTCGGCCATTACGAAGTCTATTCTGGCAGTCCTTCGGAAAAAATGTATCTTCACGTTGACAGCAGAACTTCTTACAGGATCATCCGAAGTAAAAAGGTATTTGTTTAAAAAAAATTAAAATTTTGGTGAAAATATGTCGACGTTTTTTTTTTTTTAAATAGTTGTAATTGAACAAAAAAAATCCTTCGTTCAAGACCTAAAAATGTAAATTATATCTCGAAGACCTGTTTCAAATTTCATTAAGATCGATTGAGTTGTTTACTTCGAAATCTTGACAACCAACAGTGTCGAGAAAAACGCGTTTAAAGTTTTCAGTGACTATATACCATACATAGCTGAACTCGAGCGCGCAACTTTTCAGGACTGCATCTCCGAAAACTATTACTCGGATCAACTTGAGCACTTAGTATACAATATTCTAGAGTTTTTATAGTATTAAATAAGACAATTGAATAAATTAATATTTTGAAAAAGTGAAACCCATGTATCCCCTTAAGGCGACTTAATAAGAAAAAAAATATTTCAAGAAGATCTTTAACTTGAGTTTGGCCGGTTAGTTTTAATGACAGCTACATATATTCTACAGTGGTTCGAACTGAAAAATTTGTTCGTAGATTGTAGCGTTGCCTTGAAAAATAGTCCAAATTTCGTTAAGATATTTATTCCGATCGTTGGGTTTGTATGACAGCTATATGCTTTAGTGGTCCGATATCGGCGGCTCCGACAAATGAGCAGTTTCGTGGGGAAAAAAGGTCGAGCGCAAATTTTCAGATCAATGTCTCTAAAACTGATGGAGCCTCAGCTCGTCACGCATAGGGCCTTTGACGTTTCTTTCTGGGTGTTACAAACTTCTTGACAAATTTACCATAATACATTTGCATAACTTGTTCAGGTTATAAAAATTGTCCGAATATAACTCTTCATATTTTAGATCGCAATAAAGATGCTTAAGGTTTAATACAAAAATGTTTAGATTGCTCTGATATCACCTGGAATCAAAATCTATATATCTATATGGTATAATTATTGAAATCAGTTGAATGAAAAAATTAACATGTGAGTCTTCAGTAGGGCAGTCATTATATAATCTCGATTCCAACCGATGGTCTATGCTTTGGGATGCGTAATAAAGGCGATTTTCGAAAAAGGGAAGAATTTGAAAAAGAAGAATATGTTCTTACATCAAGACCATAAACAGTACAACAAGTAAGTGAAAACGATGTCAAAATTGAATAAAATGCACCGCGACATTTTCTTAAAAAAAATATTTCATCGGCTAAAGCACCTGCAGCTCTCTTTTTCAGAATTTTAATTTTTATTTTGTTGCTTATATTTATTTATACTGCTTTTTTGATAAACAAGTAAAACTTTATTTTGATTGCATTTGTATTTCATTGCTGCACTAAAATTTTAAAACAGGCTGTTCTTGTCGTTTAAATCGCCAGTGAAACCTGTCGCACTACAATTACTCCTGCATCTGTCTTCAAGGTCGAGGTGGTTAAGCGCATTTAAAAGGTGGCAAGCATATCACGATTGAAAAAGAATTTTTGGCTGGCTATGAGCCAGATAGCAGTGTGCAACATATAGAAGAAATACTATAGAAATTTATTTTTAAACGATGGAAAGTAGAACCTGTTTTGTCTTATAAACTTATATTAATATCTTATGCATTTATAGATGTATAAATGAAATTCAAAACTGGTCTAGGGCTATGAAAGCCCGACCCCTATTCTATGTCAAGCTTTTTTCATAGAAACATACTCGGGCGTTCAACATTGTTCTCGAAGGATCGACTAAAGCTAAATCTGCGTAAATCTAAAATAAATGAAAATAGCTGGTGTATTGTTTTACTGAGGTAACCTAAAAATTACTACAGCATAGGAATAAGGAATCAAAGCTGGCATGGGTGCGAAGTAGTAAAGGCAGGTTTCAAGGTCAATATAGTCGATCTTAATAATTGTGATCAAAGAATTGTGGGAACAGAAATCATAAGAAAATATTAACCAAGTATTTCAAAACTCAAATTAAATTTGAAAAGGCATAAAAAATAACAAAAAATGTGAAAAATTAAAGAAGGAAAAGAAGTAGATGAGTGGTACACAAAATGAAAATCATAGATCAGACTTTTTTGTCAGTAAAATCGGTCTTCTTAGCGAATAATCACACTACATATGTAGATACACCGAATAATTTGTTCAAAAATGTCCAAGTCGATTCGGTTATTTTTCTTAAAATAACAACAAAAAATAACTAAAAGCAAACACATGTCTGCAACAACAAATCAGTCATACAAACATACATACATAGTTTTTAATCTTCAATTATCATTTGTATGCTTCTTCCATGACCTCAAATATTAATTTGCTGACACGCCAGCTTAACAACAACAAAAAAAATTCATTTGGATAACAAATATTAAAATTTAAATTTTTGGTGCTGTGAGCGTGTACTGTGAGTACGACTTCAAATGTTTTTGATTATCACACATTTGTATTAACAACACTCTCATCGAATCGGCTGCTTCATCATTCACTTAGTAGACGAGTCATAAAATTAACTTTTTTAGCACCAAACCAGCAGCCGCCGTCAAAATAGCAACAACAAATGCAACCGGTTAAGGAATAGTAACAAAATGATTGTAAAAAAATTAAAATACGATAAATACTATAAACTGAAACTAAAAACCAAATGAGAAGCAAAACTAGCGCCAGTTTATTAAAAGTGAATTTGACCACAAAAAATCGGGGGAAAAAACTCGGTCGATGCTCCAAACAGCAGTGACGTGAGATTGGGTAATACTTTTTTCTCACTTTTTGCCATGAGTTTCGGTTTTTTTTTTAATTTTAAACGGCGATTAGAAAATAACGCTGCATAATTAGCATAAGCGCAGCTACCGCAGTCATTGAGCTTATGGTAGGTCAAAAAAGCCAGAGGCGATGCTGAATGGCGAAGAGCAAAAGTATAGAAGCGACCTCTACAGTGAGCTTGTAAGTAGATGTGACATTGTGTGATTAGATTTTGTTGTTAAAACTCGAAATAATTATTTTATTATTTTCTTGCAGCTGTGCTTTGAGGCACGTCAAAGTTTGTCAGAAGACAACTCAAGCGTTTAAGTACGAAAAAATACACATATATAATATATCTAAAATTATGTGCAGCGAACAACAAAGACTTGACATGATTTTATCTACAGCACTAGATAACAAAAACAAACCAAAAAAAGAAAAGCAGACAAAAAAGTCATAAAAATTATTTGTATTTTTATTTTTACAATTATTTCATTTTGAGCAGTGAAAGTCGTTTAATATTTTTGCCACAAAATAAAATGGAAATAGCTTTGTTTGGCAGCAATTGTTGTTATTACTGTTGTTACAGTAGCAATTGCTGTTGACATTTCGAAGCGTACACGCGTATAATTTGACTGCATTTCAATGCTGTCCGGCTTTGATAGTGCAAGGAAACACACACACACATACGTATATACCATATATACATATGTATATACCAAAACATATAGTATACAAAAACAGATAGTATATATTTATTTGCTATTTCACCTGCTGTTGCAAGCGCGGTGAAGACACAGCAATTAAACCGCATTTTTCAACAACTTTATGATTCGCAGCCATCTCTTATTCCGCTACAAGTTATTGCAGTTTTGGTCATCATGTGACTATAATGACAGAAAAGTCGGCAGATACTTGGACAATTGTTCGTTAGCGGGCGATTGTTTTCCGGCAAATTTTGTTTTCTTTCAATTTTCATTTGAAATGTGCGATGAAAGTGAAAGATACTGGTTTGAAATGTAATTTCGTAGAAAATATCAAAATGATGGCACTTGAAAATGTGAAAATTGTTGATGTAATGGAAACAAAAATAAAATTATTATGATCTCTATGGTCAGTTTGTTTATTTATTGTAATGAAAAAAAAACAAACAAATGTTTACACTTTTTATTTTGGCGACATTCCACAAGTATTGATTTGAAAAAAATAATAACATTTGTCAAAGAGCAGGGGTGGCTAAACTTTTTTTATTTTTTATTACGTAAAAGTGTCCGGACACAAATGAATACTTTCGTAATTTTAATTTAAATATATTATATATATTTAAACAGAATTTAATTAATATAAAAGCTATTTAGCTGTGAGGTATACTAAATTTGAGCAGAAGGACTTAAGAAGCCCAAACTCGTGCAAATTGCTTGAAAAAAGTACATAAAACAATGCGAGAGATTCGTTAAGGTTTTCAAAATTAGTATAGGGCCAAAATATAATTCGTAACATGTGCGCCTAAAAGTTAAATAAATAGCATGTTTAATATCGATTTCACATTTTTTGTGTTTAATACGATAGCTTACTACTGCTACTACACAACCAATATAAAATTTAGTTGAAAGAGCAAAAGTTGTAGATCCACTTCATCCATCACTTTTGAAAAATAAGATATTTTAGATTTTTTCAACCCAAAATCTTCGTTTACATAAAATTCGATCAGATTTAAATAATTTAAACTTTTGTGAGTACGTTTTTAGCGCTAGAATATAATGAAATGTTCCTCTTGTTGAAAATTGGCTTTTGTCTTTACTTCAGTCCGAAGAGTCGTCGAGAAAAAACTATTCCGAAATTATTGTTTTTGTTTTCTAAAAACTTCAACATTTATTTTAAAATATCGAAGCAATTCGAGGTCAACAATTCATGCGAGCAATATTAAACGACAATCTCATTTTCTATTCAATAAATTGAGGTTATTACTAAATTCCAAATTTATTTCCAATAATTACAAGATGTGTAAGACTAAAGCAGTTCAGTTTCTGAAATATATCTTATAGAAAGAAAACTTTCTATTGAAGACTTTTTTCCTTTCGCCAAACCGAGCGTAAGTCTTGTTGGGGTCCTCTCGTATGCGGCAATATGCTGATGGGAGCTTGAGAAAAATGCCTTCCGAATCATCATCGTGTCGTCACAACTCGCCTCAATGGGAATCACTGCCTTAGTGATTAATTAAATCACTTTAATGAAGAATATTATCTATTTTGGACAGAAAAAATGTTGGACTGCTGCTACTTAGATATACTAAATTTTAAATACGATTTGCAGGATAGAGAAGAACGAATAGAGATTACGAATTTACATAAATCAAAAAAGAAAATAAAATGTTTCTGTTAAGAAAATCCAATATAGCGTAGAAAGATAAATGATGAGACTAACCAGAAGCTATAATGAAAACTGTTTCTATTGAAGAAAAAGTATTTTTTTTTAATAGTTAAAATGTTAAACTTTAGTAAATCAAATGGAAAATTGGGCGATTTTTCTTTTAATCCTTGAATTAAGTCGTTAGCAATTTTTATAAAATTTATATATTTATAAATTTATGAAAATATGAAAATTCCTACAACAAATGGCCATAATTTGTTATTATACCACTGCTATCAATATTTCTTTAACCTTAAAAAAAAAACCATTTTCACCCCAGGAGACAATGCCCACCACAAAAATTCTCAATACAGATTTTACATAGCTACAAAAAAATATATCTATCTATTCACAGACAACTAAAAATAGTTAACAACAAAATAGTTTTTGCCAAACTAAATTCGAAAATCCATCAAACACTAAAGCTTGTCATATTTTGCCATGCAAATTACTTGCTGTCATAGAACTGATTTATTGCAAACCCACATTTATTCTTCCTTAAAGGCATGTAATTGTATTTTGGCACATTCTGAGCCCACATAGATGACAAAGCAGGCTTAAGTAGGTATATGTGTATGTATGTAGGTATATGAAGGCGCATAAAACCACCTGCTCAATAATTAAGTGCTTACTCTGAAAGTGTAGAATAATGTCAATAATAAGAATTTTGAGTCGCTAAGTGGTTTTGAGATGCTTGAACATTATTATTGAAGAGCGATAGCATGTTTTAAAAAAATATATATATACTTTAAACTTGTATGTACTTATAAGACGACACACTGCTTAGAAATGTATAAGTACCTACATACATATATAAATAGAAAAATTTTCAACTCCAAAAGACAGGCGTTTTTTGTACTCCTTAACAATTTTTATTGTTAGATAAACATTAATGTTGAAGAGCTTAATAAAGCACTTTCGAATAATTCAGAATAATAAAGGAATTTAAATATGCTTTGGAAACCTACATTTCAATATTTCTAAGCGTTGATTTACATAAATAAACAATTTATATTTTTTTGTTAAAATGCTTTTTATTTCCGCAAAAACTCGTTTTATCGATCTATAAATTTTACAAAAAAAAAATTAAAGTTTTTTCTCACTTTATATACTATTAGGAAATAAAACGTTGCCTACATTTAGGATTAATTTATAATTGTCAACACTAATATCTATTTGATTTTGTGTTGTCTTCATAGAACAAATTTTCCTCAGAGTTTTCAGATCATTATTTCCGAGTGGTAATCATTTGTTAAATATGGTAACAAAAAAGTCTGATAAGATAAGCTTATATCACTATAATTCAACTTTGGAAATGCTCGAGTATAAAAATGGTATATTCATAAAATTACCAATATATATATTATTTTTAACACATTTAGTAGCATTCTATTCATTCTCTTTTTAGCAAATGGCATAGTAAATAAATAATTGAGCACAATGAAAACATTTCTAAAAAATTTCCTTAAATTTTAACGCTTATTTACTTTAATTTATATTCTTATTTTAGAAGTAAACACAAATAGAAAATATTTAATGAAAGAAATTACTTAGAAATACGCGGCGTGTGTGAAATGAAGCATAATGCAAAGTATGCAAAATAGCAAAGAAAAAAATTTATATTTTTTGAAATTATTAAAACGAATGAAAGAGTGTTATTGTTACAAAAGCCGCTCACACACACATACAGCCACAGATATTTATGCAAAAAACTAAGAAGCTACCGCTTCTGAATGCTGTCATTATCAGCAATTATTTTTATGCCAACATGATATTGCAGTTGAACCGGTGATGGGCCGGTCGGCGCTAGCCATGTACCACCGACATAGCGGTATAAAGCAATAAGCATGTGGAGATTAATAGTTTTAGATAAGCTTCTTTCCATATGCGTCTTCTTTTTCGAATTTTCTTTTCATAGTTCATTTCATTTATTGCGCTTTTAGACGCAAAAAATTTACTTAAAATTCACGAACAACTTGTAGTGATTGCCGGGCTTAGGCCATTAAGCGCAGCTTCAAAGAACTTTGAACTTCTAAATGCGCGCACACATATATTATATATTTTATGTAGCATTTACCGCAATATTCCATTCATTTAGAAGTTGTAAAAATAATAATTTTATGTGGCTTTGTTTAGTGGCGTTAACGCTTTGTGCAAATTCATACATATCTTCATATACATACATACATATATACATAGGGACATACATACGTGCAGGCATGTTTAACACATTAGTACATATCTACATATATTGTAGGACGTATGACTCTTCGAGACTGCACAAACGGTTGATAAATTTCTTGGTGTTGAGAAATTCGTTCTAATTTTAAATCTGGTTCAAGAACGTGATAAATAATGGCATCATTATGTAAAATTTTATTTTAGAAATGATTAAATGTCAAGACCTAAATCACCACAAAAATTATTATCACAAAAAGCATTAAATTTTCAATTTAGTTTCTCAGAAATATTTCGAAAATATCACAAAGCATTAAGAAATTATTTTAAATTGCAAACAATTGAAATACTAACAACTTTTCAGGGGACTAGAGACTCGAACCCTCACCGAAAACAGAAAAAGGTGGCTTGACAGTAAGAAAAGACAATAAATTGGGGAAGATTGCTTAAAACTAGTCAAACATTACTCACTTCTGGACACTTTAAAGGAAATGAGATAGAAATTCAAGGGAAACCCAATATATATTGTAGTATGATTGACAGATTGAGAACTGCTGCTGTCAAAACTGGCAAATTTAGGACGTAGTAACTATTGTACTAACAAAACAAGAATAGAATAGCCTAAAATATACCGTCTGATCAAATTTGACCCATGCTGACAAAAAAAATTAAATCCACTTCTCGTAGCCACTACATTGACCAAAATGTGTTGAGTCGATGCATAAGTGATGTTGAGATCCTCTGCTATTTATCTGAAGCCAACACAATGATTTTCAATCACTGTTTCTTTTACTTTTTCGAAGTTGTCGTCGATAGCAGAGATGAATAAAAGTTTTCGAGGACCTCACGACCTTCCCAAAATCCTTCCGCGACATTTTCAACGATTCCGTAGCCGTCATTCTATTGGAACGACGTTGTTAAATTTCCTTAGGTAAAAATCGCAAGAAAAACTTTTCGAGTCGCTGCCAAATACACACTAATTGACATATAGCGATCAAACTTCAGAGAACGATGTACAAGGCAATGCCAATACGGGCTGTATAAACCCAATATAGATGTTAAAGAATGTATGTTACATTGTGTAATGAGCTCCCACTTTCAACTTTTCGCGTCAAAGCAATATATTTTTATATTTAATGAACAAGTTGAGCATTCAGAATTACAGAATATTTTCAACAAAAAGGATATCCTATAGGAACCATGTCTGAAAAAATACACATAGAACGACAGTGTTTTCATAGCGAAAGAACTACTACAATAGAAGAGACAACTCTTTACGTCTAACACAAGTTTGATAACACTCCAACATGCCAAACCATTAGCTTCTAAAAACTCCGTATGGGATCTAGGAAATATAACAATAATATGAGTAAGAGAAACGGAGTAATGTTAAAACATCTCTTTAAGTATCCAAAGCAAAGATGATGCGATCAATATGACAGTATTACAAGGACGTATTGTATTAGTCAGTATCGAGAAGTCAAACGAAAACGTCTCCGAGGTGGGTTCCTCAACTTTTATTTGTGGACAATATTGTGGTCCAACTGATATAC